CTGCTGAAGCATAGTTAGGCTGAAGTCATCTTACAGTTGTTCAGTTTGAAATTTTAGTTTGTTGGGTACTGTTCTATGGCACATATAGTATCTGCAAGTAGTTTTTAGCTTTGTCCATCCTCATGATAGAACTGTATTTGCAGTAACTTCTGATTCATAGTCTTGACTCATGATTTAATCTTCTGGGAGATATGAAGACAGTCAAACAGATATTTATATGAACCTCAGAATTGAACTCTAGGATTTGGGAATCTAGGACTAGGGAATATTTAGGAAAACTACAGAAGCTTTTAGCCACAGTTGCAATCTGTGACCCACTAGGGGAATTGCTATTCAGAGATATTAAGTAGTTTTCTCCTCTGGTTTGATTTTATTCATGCTTTTGATTGTGACCTGAATGTGATCGGTTTCCCTGAATCATCACATATATGGAGGGACATGACTATCACTAATGTGAATAATTGAGGTTCCCATATGGAACAGAAGCTTCAACTCGTGATTCAGCAAGTCTCTGAGCAGACTTCATAACTGCTAAAGAACATAAAAAAACCCCAACCAAGCAAACAAATAAAAAAACAACAACCCAAACAAACAACAAAAAGACCCCAAACCCACAAAAAACACCTCTCCCCAAAACAGAACACCCCAAAACCAATCCTTTCCTTCCCCCATACCACTTACAATTTTAAGAGTCCAAGGTACTGTATTTATATTGCTTTTGATGGAAATACGGAAGCCCATGGATAAAGTATTAGGAGGGGAAGTAAGTAAATAACATGCAGTTTTTCTTTCTTCTTTCCTCAAGAGGGGCAAGGGAAATGGTAAATGGAGAATGCAGAAATGCACAAGCGTGTGGAAACAACAATATTGTGTTCTGAAAATTGTGATTTGAGCTTCTGCTATTGTAAGGGAAGAGAACGTCCCTTCATGGTTAGATTGAGGAGGTTTTGTGAGATAATATTCACCCTGTATGCATAAATAATCTAATGGAAGGTAGCTAGCCTTCAATTCAGCCAATCTAGTGTTGGGTTATTTGAATCATGTCAGCTAAGGGCATGTGAAATTGTGTTTGTTGCAGTAACTGAGACAATAACAATGTAACTGACAAGGAAGAAGAGTGGTGGCTTTCAGTGGCAAAAGCCTGTGGTGGTGTTGAAGTTCAACCTCACTTTAGTTTATTACAAAAATAATGTCCCAGCCCAGATGTAATCCTGCAAATATAAGCAGATAACTGCATTTTTACAAGCACTTTCATTTAATGCCAAAGTCAAAATGGTATTTGTTCACAAAATAAGGTGCATTTTCCTGTATCTTCTTTTGTTCCACTGATATGAAATTCCTTTTCAGAATTTTATATAATGTGTAGTTTATAAATGCTCTTTTTGGCTGAATCCTGGGTGATTGTTTTGTGGCCAGGCTCAACTGATCCATGACAGAAACACTGCCTCACACTCAGCTCCAATGGTCAAAGCAACTGTGGCTGCTGCTGCGCCAGAAAAAGTGCAGATGACCTGGACTAAAGAGAAGTTGGTAGCTGAAAAGCATAAAAACAAAGATTCAAATGTGTCTGGCTTTAAAGATATTTTCAACATGAAGCCGTAAGTATATGTGTGGCATTTGGAGTTCTGTATATGATTCTGTGTATTTCAGTGTGTGGTGGTGGTTTTCTGGGTTTTGGTGTAAGGGATTCTGATTTACTTAAAGTTCAGTACAAACATGATTTTTCGGTGGACTTCACTCAAATGCCATCCTTATGAAAGTAACATGGACTTGGGTGGAACAGCAATGACTGTAAAGAGTCACACACAAGAATTTAGTGAATGTAGCCTAAATACGATAGACTTCAAGCTGTAAACTCAACTTCTGGATTGTACCAGAAGCGTTATCTGTTAAAATGTTTTATGATAATTTTTGGTCCTCCCCACCCAACCCCCACCCCCCTTCCTCTAGGCACCAGTTTATTATGTATCATTTCCCCATCTAATTGATTGCTGAGGTGGAGGAAGTACCAAAGAAGCAGATAGACTCATTCAAGGCAGTTAGCTTATGTTTTGACTTCTGGGTGGAGTGGTTTGGATTTCGGTTTTTTTTGTTTCATTTAAATGGACATTTGGCCTTCATCCTGTAAATTAAACCACTGTACAATTTGTGATTATATATGTGCCTAGGTATAGGAAGTATTTCCTGTTGAAATATTCCTTAATTTCTTAAAAATAAGTCACTTAATACTTCTGTCAAGCCTAATGTAGACCCTAAACCAAAACCAGAAAGCTATCAGCTTGTTTGCTTCCTCACTTTGTGATCCAGGAGCACAAATGCATCTTTTTTTTGAGTTCTGAAAGGATGCAGTTATAAGCCCTAGACTATTTTCTGCATATGCTTGGAGAGAAACTTTAGCTCAAGGGAAATTCTAGTATCTAAAGGAAATGTATCTTAAATCTAGGCTTTGTAGACAATAGAGCTAGTAATTAGAATTATTAGCACCTTAAAATTCTACGTTGTTGGTTTTCTGAGTTCTTGAGAAACAATTTGCCTTCCAAACATCAACGTGCTTATGCTCTAAAGCACTGTTTTTGTTCTAGGCTGCAGTATACTTTAAATCACAGGGATTTTCTTTCATATTTTGGAAATATTTCTTATTATTTCTTTAGAATTGTGCAAGACACTTCAGTAAATATTTTAGAATAATTGTATGTGGTTGGGGTGGAAATTAAAGTTCAAAGTTGGTGTGCCTGTACAATATATTAATGTTGCATTAAAAATGTACCTGATGGCATATCTTTTTTTTCTATGCATTTGCTTCTCTTCCATGTAGAGAATGGGGAAATCTGTAAGTCTAAATTTAATTTCACTTAAGCAATGTAGGCTGTGTTCTCTGGTTCTTGTGGTCTTGTACATTGTATGTGTCTTTGCTAAATCATCATTTTCAGTTTGTGTACTCTTTTGTACCTTGTTCTATATACTGTGATTTAGCATTTATTACTAAATAATACTCGTCACTGTGGCTTGTTAATGCTTTCTTCTAAATATTGTCAACTCTCTATTCAAGGTAAATCACAGAATACAATTTTTGTTTCTGTAAAAAAGTAAAACTTGACACTACTCTGCACCAGTGTAATACTTAATTTTCTAATCTCTATTTGTTCTTGGGTGGAACTTACTTGTCACTGCTTTGCTTTTTTCTTCAGAGCCCAATGTTGTCTTCATTTTGCTTGCTTAACAAATTGAGCTTTTAATGAAAATTTAGAAAGTTTACTTTGTGTACCATGTATGATTTCAGTTGAAGGCTAAATGAAGTTAGTCAGCTTCAGTGGACATTGTACACAATGTACCTTTAGTCAATCTGAACATTTATTTCAGTGCTGAATTCTTCCCCACCCCATCACAAATTAACTCCCTCTATATTTTCCCTAGATTTTATCTTTAGTTTAACAATGTTTCTACTTCAGTATATATGAACCTCTTCAGTTATACACTCTTGCTTCTCAACAGCTCTTTGGTGTTCTTTCAAACTGCTGTTCTGCTTCTGAAAATCTGAGCTTCAAGTATTCTTTTGTTGCTCTCACAGTTTGCCTAAAACAGGACAGTTCCATGTATGGTTTTTGAACAGGTGGCCACTGTGACAGAAAATCCCCCAGGAGGGACTGATAAACTCGGTTTTGAAAATGTCATTGTGTTGGGGAGGAAATTGGAGAGAGGGGGAAAGGAGACTAGATTGAAATTGATGGGGCTGGTCTCCACTGGCCACTAAACTTAAGGCCAAGTGTTTTTTGTTTCCCTCCTAATTTTTCCCTGTAAAATCAACCATGAAAATAAAATATGACACATGCTACTTCTGATAATATCTTGTTAACAGTTTTTCATAGTAAAAAAAGTGGAAGTTAGTAAACTGCAAGTGCATATGCTCCCAGCATTGTAACTCCTTTCCCTTGTTTCCAACTTAGTAATAGAATCTGAGGGTGGCCTCATGTTGCTTGAAGACTCTAGGATTAAGTGTTGGTGTAGTCCCCTGGTAGTAGGTTGAAGTTGTGCATTTCCTTATGCAAATTGTGGCCACTTAAATGTTTTTTTGGGAAAAGAGATCTTGCTAATTTCTATTGTTTACTTCACCTGGAACAGTGCTGGGATTTGTCCTGCAATCTTGCTGGCTGTTAGTGGAATACAAATGACTCCAGACTTGATCAGGCATTTCACAGAATGTGTTATGTCCTGCTGCTACTAACCTGCCATTCCTCTGTGCCATAGGACAGTGTGCCAGCCCAGCGGAGCAGGGTGTAGTTGTGCTTTTATTGCAAGACCACCAGTTACAGTGACAAGAAAATTACACAGGATGGAGTGGTGTATCTTGTATCAGTATGCAGCATCTCTGTTCTTGAGATGTGCTGTGACCCTGTGTTTCTGAGGTTTCCTTTGGAGAGACTTCCTGCACTTGTGAAGAATCTATTTCTTAGCAGTGGATCTTTTGGATAGAAGGGCTTAGCTAGATTCTGGACACTTCTGTTGCAGTGTAGTGTATTACTCATTTCCAGTCTTGGCTCGTTTTGCACAGATAGAAGTTACTCAGGAACTATAAGGAAACTGTTCTTTTGTTCCAAAAAGCAACTAAATCATCCAAGGTAGATCTTAAAATAAGGAAATCTCTGAAGTCCTAGCAGTTTCTTCCTCTTGCATACAAATTTACAACTATAATATTTGTGGAGGCAAGAAGCAAGTTTGTTAAAATTAATATCGATACCGTTAGGGGAGAGGCTCAGTTTCAGGTCAGTGCTCACTGCTGTACTCTTAGGAGAAATTAGTCATTTTTTTTCATAATCTCCGTGCTGTTTCTGAATTTTCTTCACCAGGCTTATAGTAATCCTGTAATGTTTCCAAAGGAGTATGAGGGAAATCTTGTACTGTACAACATGAACACTTGTAATCTTTCCATCGCAT